GTGTGTTTTTGTTGTTTTTTTTTTTTGCCTGTTGGAATCGTTAAAAAAGCGCAGCTGCAGGTGGATAAACATCCTCCAGAGCAGTTTGGTATATTTTATCGGACTTTAAGGTTTTGCAGAAGTGTGAAGCAGCGCAGTGAGGAGGCAGCCCCTGTAGGCGGGCTGGGCTTCAGACGCGGAGGTTTGATTCACATCCTCATTAATATCGGACATCCGGTGGCACTGCCAGCTGCGCCCCATTTTTATTGTTGTCTGTGCGCTGAGAGGATGACTGCCGGGCCGCCTCCCCGCACCGCGGAGCGCAGCAGCCGCTGATGGTGAGCGGATCTTCGCTTCCTTTCATCCAGAAATCATTTGGAGCTTCCTGGTGAAGGTTAGAGCTGATTGTGAGCGGAGGGAGTCTGGGTGTTTGGGGCTCAGGGCTGGATGCTCTCCTCCATCCAGCTGCGCGGACACGCAGCGTGCTCCTGACCGCAGACACAACTAAACCGAAACCATTTATTTCTCCTAAAATCCATCCGTTTTATTGCATTAAACCAAATTTCTTTCTATCCGGTTGGATTAAAGATGCGCTCTGAATAATCAGGGAGCCACTAGGAGCCCAGAATGAAGCTCCAAGGACACTGAGAGGCGGGGGTCGTTCATTTAACCTACTTTTCTCCTCTTGCACTTATTTGCATAATTACGACAGAAAGTGAGAATTCACAACTAAATCCGCGCTTTGATGGAAACCCAGATTGTTCTTCGGGTTTATTTTTTTTTAAACCGCCTTCCTGGATAGACTGACCCAGCCCGCTGTCTCCACGGTCCGCTCCCCGCCGCCTGCTCGCTGTTTTCGGCCATGGTGTTCCAGCCTCCATCCCATCCTCCGCTCTGCTTGTTTCCTGCGCGGCCATCCGAACCCCTGCCGCGTCTTCCAGGATCATGCTTGGGTTATTGTGATTGAATCTTTCTTTAAGCGGCTGAGGATCGGTTGGTTCTCCCTCATAATCTTAATTTGCGGTTCGCAGGCAGACGGACTTTCCTGACATGCGCAGCGTTTGGCGCATCCTTCAGAGGAGACGAACATCAAACAATCAGATCCGGAGCAAAGTAGTCATTTAGTTCAATCTGGAAAACTCACACAAAGAGAAAAGACAATAAGAAATTTATTGATACAATTAATTTGTCTTTGGCGCTCAGACCTCGGCAGGAAACATTGAATTTTGATAGATATGCATGAACAGGAGCAAAGAATAGGGCTGTTTTCCCCCCAGGCCTGAAACTGGTGGTGGAGTTGGTCAGTCTGTAGACTGCTGGTTAGTGAGACGGTCTGCTGCGTGTTTTCATGGGGGCACAGAAAAGCATGAAATAAAAAAACAGGATAGCTGCATGAAGTGAGACTTCTATTCAAATAAGTTTCATTAAAATTCTAAATGTCTTTTTAGGTGAATAAACATTCAGAATTTTGGAATTTTTACAAACTTATTACTTAATTTAAAGCTACAGTGTGTAATAATTACAGGGAT